TACCTTGCGAACTTTTATTAGCAAGGAGTATATTGATCATGTTCGTGATTTAAAGTCACCACAGCAAGTATGGGAAACACTTCAAAAGTTGTTCACTAAGAAAAATACCGCTCGACTGCAATTTCTAGAGAATGAACTAGCTATGGTAACTCAAGGTAATTTTTCTACTGAAGAATATTTTTTTAAAGTAAAAAATATGTATTCTGAAATTTCAAAATTAGATGCTAAGGCGTCAGTGAGTGATGCTCGATTACGGCATTATCTTATTCGTGGATTACGAAAAGATTTTACGCCCTTTATTTCCTCAATACAAGTGTGGGAAAATCAGCCTACAGTAATTGAACTGGTGAATCTTCTTTCGAATCAGGAAGCTTTGATTAAGCAAATGATTAACAGCAACGAGTTTTCCCCAAAGTCATAAGATGTGTTGTATGTCAAAGATCAAAGGAGACAGAATTTTCATTCAAAGCCTTCATCAAGCAATGAGAATCAATTTAGGAGTGAGGAGTCGTCAAAGAAGCCATTTAAAGCTTGTTACAGGTGTGGAAAACCTGGCCATTTTAAACGAGATTGTCAGGTGAAAGTAGCGTGTGATCATTGCAGAAAGCCAGGCCATATTAAGCCAAATTACCAAGTCAAAATGCAGGAATTAGAAGCAAATGTTGTACATGAAAGTAAAAATTCTTCCGATCCAATTTGGGAATATTGCTTAACCATTGAGGTTCTTGACCAGCCAACAAACGTGACTTCAGCTGTACATCAAGATGATGTCTCTACAGATGCTCATGCCTTTATAGACTACAATGAAGAATGGATTCTCGATTCTGGTTGTTCTCATCATGCAACTGGAAACAAAACTCTTCTATCAGATGTTTGTCCACATTGTCAAAAGAAGAGTAAAGGGCCCAACAAAGTGGCTAAATTGGAATCACGACTTTCTCAACTCTAGGAGGAACCGAAGAAAACAAGTGATCAACTAAGTGCATCTGAATCACACAAAAAGCAAGCCCAACAGAAAGTAGAAGAAGCAAAGAAACAACTATCAGATATGTCTGAAAAGCTTGAAGAATCTCAACAGCAGGTGTTTGAGCTCTCTGCTTCTGAGGAAGATCGTGTTCAAGAACTGCACAAACTTTCTCAAGATTGCAATCGAGCATGGAAGTCCAAACTCGAAGCTATTCAAAAGTAGCACGCAATGGATGCTGCTGCATTGGCCTCTGCCATTCATGAAGTTCAGAGGCTCAAGGTCCAGCTGAACATGGTGTCTAAATCCAACCAAACCCGAAGTAACCTCACTAAGTCTATGGAAAAGCTTCAATCAGATGGAATGAAAACTTTTGAAGCCTACAACTCTTTGTCACCAAAATTGGAGGAATCAAAAGATCGGAATTCAGGGAGGGATGGCTTTGATTTTTATGGAGGGAAGGGAAGATGCCAGAAAGATTTAAATTCCAGTCGTGTTGGTGGTGGATTTAGGAATTATGGCTCGAATGATTCGTATGAGAGGAGTAACAGGTATTTGAACGGGGATGATTCATCTAACTCGAAGTGGGGTTTGTCAAGGGTCTTTGATGAAAATAGGAGGAAGAAAGATGAAGATAATTCTGGCAGCGACGGTGGTGGCAGTCGACCGAAGCTTAATCTTGAGCCACGTACGCTGCCGGTGAATGATGTCAAGGACGACTGCGTGGTCTAAGAATTCAAACCCATTTGGAATGGTGAGGCCGAGGGAAGAGGTTCTAGCTGAGAAAGGACATGATTGAAAAAAACTTGACAAGGAGTTAGAGTCGAAAATTATGGAAGTGTCAAGGGAGAAGACTGAAAAATCCAACGCCATTGGGAAAAAGAGCTTTGGCAATGTAATTGGTCAGGCTGCTGAGGACAAAATAGAGAGAAGCTGGAGGAAGCCGAGTTTCAATAACTCTGGACCAGTGGGGCGGGATGCTCAACCTGATAAAAATCCTAATGGTTTTGTGGATGCTAATTGGGCTGGTGACATGAACGACAGATGCTCCACAAGAGGTTTTTGTTTTACACCAGGCTCTGTTGCAATTTCATGGTGCAGTAAAAAGCAAAGCATCGTTGCTTTGTCAAGTTGTGAAGCCGAATATGTAGCTACTACAATGACTACTTAAGGATTTTTGTGGCTCATCACGAGGCTTATTCAAGAAATGGTGACTACTCATTATGATTTTGTTTGAGAGAATGCTAACGCAGGATGTTGAATTGCAAAAAATACAGACTAATAAGCAAGTTGCGGACATATTTACTAAGGCACTTGCCAAAGTAAAGTATGAAGTTTTTCGTAAAGGCTCTCAAAGCTATTGAGAAAATAAGTTTGCACTAAGGGAGGCTGTCATCTTGTTAGTCATCTTGTTGAGTATCTTGAAGTTCATATCCATAAAGAAATAAAATTTGGAGAAATTTTGGATCGACTCTTCTTTACACGTTGAATCCTTTCTCGAGGAAAGTGTATCATGTGCTATCATGTGAGTGGGGTGACGTATACTTTCGTAACATAGACACATAAAATATATTGTGTACGGGGGAGTGCGAGTCTACAAGCCACTAGTCCTATTCTTTCTAGTATCTTAAAAGGATGGAAGAACTTGGGCTTAGCTTCCCTTTCTTTTCAAAATCTGAACATCCCTCTCATGGGTGCTATCTTTAGGAACACATGGTCTCCTACATCGAAATTTAGGTTTTTACGCCTTCCATCTGCATAAATATTTTACGAACTAAAATTTTATTTTTATTAGAAACAAAAAGATTTAAAAAAAAATTCAAACTTAAATCAAACGAACCCAAAACTATATGGTTGGGTTGGGTGGATTTCAGTTTTTGTGATGTCCCACATTGGATGGGGAGGAGAACGAAACACCCTTAAGCGTGTGGAAACCTTCCCATAGTAGACGCGTTTTAAAACCTTGAGAGGAAGCTCGTAAGGGAAATCCCAAAAAAGGCAATATCTACTAGTGGTGAGCTTGCGTCGTTACTGGTAATAAAGCCAGACACCGGCGATGAACCAGCGAGAAGGTTGTTCCCCGAAGGGGAATAAACACGAGGTGGTGTGCCAGCGAGGACGCTGGGCTCGAAGGGGGGGTGGATTGTGATGTTCCACATTGGTTGGGGCGGAGAACAAAACACCCTTTACAATGGTGTGAAAACCTTTCACTAACAGACACGTTTTAAAGTCTTGAGGGGAAACCCATAAAAGTAATATCTATTACTGGGTCGTTACCGTTTTTCACCTGAGTTGTTCGAGTTAAAATGAATTAACATCCCAAATAATTGAACTAAGAACAAAAACCCTCTCACCCTTTCCATATATATATATTTTTTTTAGTAATTTTTAGTACGTTTTCAAGTATTTTATTTTAGTCCTAAATTAGAACCATTATTATTATGGTTAAAATATAGTTTATAATTGTGGGGCTTTAAATACAAACTCAATGGGGAAATAACACCCATTAGTCACGCATACCACATATTATAGTATCTTATCCTCAATTCTAGCACAACGGAAAGCATAAAAATAGATATGTATCATAAAATCTCATCCTAGGGGAAGTTCGTTAATTTTCCTTAACATATATAGCATTTTCATCCAAATAGCCCTTTTAGAGTCCTAAATATGCATAATCTACCATTCAAGGCAAGATATGCTCGCATGCTAGTATGCCCTTGAGCTAGAATTACTTTAGAAGAGTAAAAATGATTATTTATATGGATGACGTAAGCTTTGTCGAGCAAGCTTTTTCTTGTGTTAGGAGCTTCAAATTTTCTAAAATTTCTCTAGTATAACCTAATTCAAATCATAAAATGGTCCACATCGAAATCAGGGAAGAACAATGGAATATAGGTTAAAACGGGTAAAAATTGGAACGATACACAGAAGATTAGCATGGCCCCTGCAGAAGAATGACACACACCAATTGAAAAATGGTTCAATTTTATTTATAAATCAGAGTGGCGCAGCGGAAGCGTGGTGGGCCCATAACCCACAGGTCCCAGGATCGAAACCTGGCTTTGATATCCATCCTTTAATGTCCTTAACTTCAAGGAACGGGAGCTTACATTTATTTACTTAGGCAGTTCTACCACTTCTTTTTTGTACGTGTTTATTATTGATGAATATGATGTTTCACGACATTTCCTTAATATGATGACAATTTTTTATACTATTGATTAAGCTTTCTTAATCATTCTTAAATGTCATGGAGGCTTATTGGGTCCTTAGGGGCATCTAGGTGATTTAGACCTCATCTCGCTTTTTTTTTATGATGCTTGGGGTTAGCTCCTTGGGGACTAACTCAATCTCTAGGTGCACTCAAGGCTAGATGTATGATTGCTACTCATAATCCTAGAGTGCTCGATAGAAATGTACTGACCTAGGTCAACGGTGCAGTCAAGTCTAGACGTATGATTGCTACTCATAATCCTTGAGTGCTCGATAGAAATGTACTGACCTAGGTCAACATATAAACCGCTCTAGCTCTAATGCCCTAATTAGCTTAGATCACTCATGCATACTTTGTTAGGAAGATATTTCTATCAATCACATAAAGCACGAAAAACATAATCTACTCATTCATGCATGCCTATTAGGGATATGTTCCTATCAACTAGTAAGGAAATCATAATGTAAACATTCAAGCAAACTCGATGGGGAAATAACACTCATTATTCACCCAGGACACATATCATAATATCTTATCCTCCATTCCAGCACAATGGAAAGCGTAAAAATCGGTATGCATCATAAATTCTCATCCTAGGGATATTTCTTTCATTTTTCTTAACATATAAAATATTTTCATCCAAATAGTCCTTCTAGAGTCCTAAACATGCATATTCTAACACGTAAGGAAAGATATACTCCCATGCTATTATGTTCACACAAGCATTACTTGTGGTAGGAGCTTCAAAATTTCTAAAATTTCTCTAGTATAACCTAATTAAAATCATAAATGGTCCACATCGAAATTAGGGAAGAGCAATCGAATATAGGTTAAAACGGGTAAAAATTGGAACGATATACAGAAGATAAGCATGACCCCTACAGAAGAATGACACACACAAATTGAAAAATTGTCCAATTTTTTTATAAATCAGAGTGGTGCAGCGGAAGCGTGGTGGGCCCATAACCCACAGGTCCCAAGATTGAAACTTGGCTTTAATATGATACACAATCCCAAGACTTGATTTTGGAAGTCATGATATAAAATCATATGGTATGAAGGAAAATAGGAAGAGAGGTTGTTTTGGACCTCATGAATTATTGTATGTTACAAGCATGGGGCTTATGATGAACCTTATGAAAGGGAATATGAGCATTATGTTTAACATGATGTTAAGATGGTTGCTACTACTTTCGGGTTTCCGACAACAACACCAGAGAATGCTAGTCCGACTAGAAGGGACCCAGAAGGTGTGTAATAATTCTGAATACGACTGAAAATGATAGTCTTATTCATGTTGCATGTTTTAACTACTCATCCAACGATCCCATTAGGATAGTCACCTAAGGGAATATAACTTAAAATGACATGTTCCTTTCATGTTTGTATATCCCAATAGGATAGTCACCTAAGGGAATATGACTTAAAATGACATGTTCCATTCATGTTTGTATATCCCATTAGGATAGTCACCTAAGGGAAACCTAAAACGTTAGGTCCCATTCATGTTCCCATTCACCATTACGATATTCACCTAAGGGAAACTTAAAATGACAAGTCCCATTCAAGTTTGTATATCCCATTAGGATAGTCACCTAAGGGAATACGACTTAAAATGATAGGTCCCATTCATGTTTGTATGTCTTTTCATTTTCTAGCTCCAATAGCGGGGTCACTTACTGAGTATAAAATACTCAAGCCACATACTACTTCTATATTTCATGTAAAGTTTGTATGTCTTTTGTATTGTTTTAAAGATATTTTCTTAAACATGTAAGCCCTATGGAAATGATTTAATTGATTATTTCCGCATAAGAAGTTATATTATATATACAGTAGCGACTTTAAGTTAGTAGAAATCTAGAGTCCTTACATTTCTCCCCTCAATTCTTTCATGAAACTTAAAAGATTGAGTCTCAAGAAAGAAATAGGGGGCAATATCTCACCTTTTCTTGGACTGTATAGTAAATTATCAGCTTCCAACTTGGTGAAATACTCAATTTTAGGGTTTATTGAGTACGATTATTGTTGCATATTAAGGACACAATTTTTTCCACAAGAATTCTTCCTTATATTCCCCTCAAACTAAATGAATTAATTTAAGATGACAATTGTGGCTACTATTGAATTCAAACTTTCGGTTTGCATCTGAACCTAAAATGTAGAGTTGATCCTTCTAGGCAGCTTGATCTCAACGAATTACCCCTCAATTCCTTCATCATATATGCTTCATTTAGTTCCGTAAGTCTAACGAAACCTCAATTTTAAATAAAATGGGCTAGAAATAAGAGTTTGAGTTTTGCCCCCAAAACATGCATGATATTATATTTCTCTAATTGGGAACACTCTTGGAGTTATTGTCAAAATTTAGTGAAAGTTAGTTTTAATTAGTCAAGATATTCATATTTATAATCATAATCAGTTAATATTTGGAGAATACATTAACTATATAATATATCTGAGATTCAATTAATACAAGATATTCATATTCAATTAATATTTTGAGAATATATTAGTTATAGAATATATCTTAGATTCCGTTAATATTTTTCTCTTTAGATTTGATTAGTAGTATATTATATTTTATTGTCAAGATTGAGATAGTTTATATTTTCCTTATTTGAAGGTATTAGTTGGTATCTTGTATTTATTTGAACGTTGTGAATATTAATAAAGATTGAACCTTCGATTCGATTTCTATTTTTTATTCCTAAATCTTATTCTTTCATTGACCAATAATATTTTCATATCTATTCACCCTTTTAAGTGGTAGATATTGCGTCAGTTTGTATCAAAGCCAAGTTGGTACGGTTTGATATTATTACTAAACGAGATGAATGGGGGAAGTGCTTCTATGGGTATAGCTATGGAAAAGCTTGTTTGCAATAACTATAGTTATTGGAAGTTATGTATGGAAGCTTATCTACAGGGGGAAAATTTGTGGGATTTAATGGAAGGTGATGACACAGAAATTCCAGCAAATACTCCACGAAATGTAGAATTACGCTGACAATGGAAGATCAAATGCGAAAAACAGATACTCCACAAAATGCAGAATTACGTCGACAATGGAAGATCAAATCCGAAAAAGCCTTATTTACCTTGCAAACTTTGATTAACAAGAAGTATATTGATCACGTTCATGATTAAAAGTCACCAAAGCAAGTATGAGAAACACTTCAAAAGTTGTTCACTAAGAAAAATACCGCTCGACTGCAATTTCTAGAGAATGAACTAGCTATGGTAACTCAAGGTAATTTTTCTATTGAAGAATATTATTTTAAAGTAAAAAATCTGTGTTCTGAAATTTCAAAATTAGATGTTAAGGCGTCAGTGAGTGATGCTCGATTACGGCGTTATCTTATTCGTGGATTACGAAGAGATTTTACGCCCTTTATTTCCTCAATACAAGTGTGGGAAAATCAGCCTACGGTAATTGAACTGGTGAATCTTCTTTCCAATCAGGAAGCTTTGGTTAAGCAAATGACTAACAGCAACGAGTTTTCCCCAAAGTCATAAGATGTGTTGTATGTCAAAGATCAAAGGAGAAAGAATTTTCATTCAAAGCCTTCATCAAGCAATGAGAATCAATTTAGGAGTGAGAAGTCGTCAAAGAAGCCATTTAAAGCTTGTTACGGGTGTGGAAAACCTGGCCATTTTAAATGAGATTGTCAGGTGGAAGTAGTGTGTGATCGTTGCGGAAAGCCAGGCCATATTAAGCCAAATTACCAAGTCAGGAACTAGAAGTAAATGTTGTACATGAAAGTAAAAATTCTTCCTATCAAATTTGGGAATATTGCTTAACCATTGAGGTTCTTGACCAGCCAACAAACGTGACTTCAGCTGTACATCAAGATGATGTCTCTGCAGATGCTCATGCCTTTATAGACTACAATGAAGAATTGATTCTCGATTGTGGTTGTTCTCATCATGCAACTGGAAACAAAACTCTTGTATCATATGTTTGTCCACATTGTCAAAAGAAGAGTAAAGGGCCCAACAAAGTGGCTGAATTGGAATCACGACTTTCTCAACTCTAGGAGGAACTGAAGAAAAAAGGTGATCAACTAAGTGCATCTGAATCACACAAAAAGCAAGCCCAACAGAAAGCGGAAGAAGCAAAGAAACAACTATCAGATATGTCTGAAAAGCTTGAAGAATCCCAACAGCAGGTGTTTGAGCTCTCCGCTTCTGAGGAAGATCGTGTTCAAGAACTGCACAAACTTTCTCAAGATCGCAATCGAGCATGGAAGTCCAAACTCGAAACTGTTCAAAAGCAGCACGCAATGGATGCTGCTGCATTGGCCTCTGCCATAAATGAAGTTCAAAGGCTCAAGGTCCAGCTGAACATGGTGTCTAAATCCAACCAAACCCGAAGTAACCTCGCTAAATCCAACAAAGCTGTTGAAGCCTACAACTCTTTGTCACCAGAATTGGAGGAATCAAAAGATCGGAATTCAGGGAGGGATGGCTTTGATTTTTATGGAGGGAAGGGAAGATGCCAGAAAGGTTTAAATTCTAGTCGTGTTGGTGGTGGATTTAGAAATTATGGCTCGAATGGTTCGTATGAGAGGAGTAATAGGTATTCGAATGGGGATGATTCATCTAACTCGAAGTGGGGTTTGTCAAGGGTCTTTGATGAAAATAGGAGGACGAAAGATGAAGGTAATTCTGGCAGCGGCGGTGGTGGCAGTCGACTGAAGCTTAATCTGCAGCCACGTACGCTGCTGGTGAATGATGTGAAGTCGTCGAAGATATCAGGGACGACAGAGAGGTCCAAGAGTTCGAACCCATTTGGAATGGTGAGGCCGAGGGAAGAGGTTCTAGCTGAGAAAGGACAAGATTGAAAAAATCTTGACAAAGATTTAGAGTCGAAAATTATGGAAATGTCAGGGGAGAAGGCTGAAAAATCCAACGCCATTGGGAAAAAGAGCTTTGGCAATGGAATTGGTCAGGCTGCTGAGGACAAAATAGAGAGGAGCTGAAGGAAGCTTAGTTTCAATAACTTTAGACCCGTGGGGCGGGGTGCTGAACCTGATAAAAATCCTAGTGGTTTTGTGGATGCTAATTGGGCTGGTGACGTGAACAATAGATGCTCCACAAGAGGTTTTTGTTTTATAGCACTCTGTTGCAATTTCATGGTGCAGTAAAAAGCAAAGCATCGTTGCTTTGTCATGTTGTGAAGCAGAATATGTAGCTGCTACAATGGCTACTCAAGGATTTTTGTGGCTGATCAGGAGGCTTATTCAAGAAATGGTGACTACTCATTATCATTTTGTTTGAGAGAATGCTAACGCAGGATATTGAATTGCAGAAAATACAGACTAATGAGCAAGTTGCGGACGTATTTACTAAGGCACTTGCGAAAGTGAAGTTTGAAGTTTTTCGTAAAGGCTCTCAGAGCTACTTCTTTCGGGTTTTTGACAACAACACCAGAGAATGCTAGCCCGACTAGAAGGGACCCAGAAGGTGTGTAATAATTCCGAATACGACTTAAAATGATAGGTCCTATTCATGTTGCATGCTTTAATTACTAATCCAACGATCCCATTAGGATAGTCACCCAAAGGAATATGACTTAAAATGACAGGTCCCATTCATGTTTGTATATCCCATTAGGATAGTCACCTAAAGGAATATGACTTAAAATGACCGGTCCCATTCATGTTTGTATATCCCATTAGGATAGTCACCTAAGGCAGGTCCCATTCATATTTGTATATCCCATTAGGATTGTCACCTAAGGCAGGTCCCATTCATGTTTGTATATCCCATTAGGATAGTCACCTAAGGGAAACTTAAAATGACAGGTCCCACTCATGTTCCCATTCACCATTACGATATTCACCTAAGGGAAACTTAAAATGACAAGTCCCATTCATGTTTGTATATCCCATTAGGATAGTCACCTAAGGGAATACGAC